AAAAAAAAAAAAAAAAAAAAAAAAAAAAAAAAAAAGAAAGAAGGGAAGAATGAATACTGAGTGGCAACTGTTTGTTCCTGTTTAAATATCTCTTCACTTAAATATATTAGGAACTGGATACAGAGCATCATTTGGGTTTTCGACGGGGGTGTGGGAGGGAGGAACCACTTATTTTTATCATCTCTTTATAAAGATGTGTTGAAGGTCACATAGATGGCAAGTGACATTAGATTATATACGTAAACTTTCTTTTTACTTCATGTAAAATTTTAATGGGGAGAAATCAAATATGGAGAAGAAGAAAACTTAAGGAAAATACCGTATATCAGTTTTATAAGTAAGTTTTAATTATCCTTTTTTCTTTGTTAGCTTTTGTGGGTTTTTCCATTTTATTTGAAAACCTCACTTAGAAAAACAGCATGATTTAAGCTACTGAAAGTTGTTATCTTCAGTTAATTCAGGCAAGTAGCTGTCCTAAAAATTGTGAATACCAAATGCTCCTCCAGTGGGCCTGTTTTGACAGACGTGGGGTTTTGATTTATATGTAGGAAGTCTTTCTTGCAGGTAACTAGTAAACTGATTAGCTGCATTCACAGTGGCCTTTCTAAAATCTCCTCAACCACCCATATGGATTGATGTGAAAGGAAAAGTAGGGATGGGCACCAAAGCCTATTTAGAACCAAGCAAAGCATCAGGAGTCACCAATTTCCCTTATTCTCCCATTTCTAGTCATAGGGTAGTATACTCCTATGGCCTGGAATTTTCTCTTTAGCTTGTTTGTGCTACTAGTGTCTTCTCTTCAATCATAATTTGATTGCACTAGCTCCTAGCTTCCACTGCTTCTTCAATAGGAGAATCAAAAGGGACAGATAGAGTCTCTTTTTTCCAGGGGAAGGAAAAAAACAACAACGTCTACTCCATAGCACTTTTTCCGCAGGGCTAGGTCCTCTTCTGTTTTGGCATCTTGTGCTCTCTGAAAGCAGTCTGCTTCTCGCTACTTCATCTCTCTCAAGATGCAGATTAGAAGCCAGGAAGCCTACGTTTCTGTAGGCTGAATTCTTCCTGAGATCCCATCAGAGAGGTTCTAATTATTTTTAAATTTTATTAGCTAATATGAAACATAAATCTGAATAATCCTTAATATGAATTTTAAAAGTTCTATATGAATTCAGAACATTTTTGTGGCCAGATCTCAGTGATAATTTACCCAGTGTAAAGAAATTACTCACTGATAATTTCTTTAGAACTTAAGAACATAGTGAGCTAAATGATTCTTAAAAAAAAAAAAAATTCCCTGACAAACTCTGTTTTTTGGGGGTTTATGGGATGATGGACCTCTTTTATAGGTAAAACAGAGATAGCAATCCCAATTAAATGCAGATTGTATTAGTGATTATTTGGCTTTTCTAGTGTAACTGTTAAATGAGAAGGGGAAATGTTTAATGACATAAAAGGAATTTATTAGAGTTTTAATAACCAAGGTGTCTTTTTAAACATTTAAATTCTAATCTCTCAACCTAACTGATTCTCCCAGGAATATTTAGTGACATTCATTTGCTGGCTATGATGTACAGCGGAGAAATGTGTTACTGGGGATTGAAGCATTGTGCAGATCAACAGCCAGAAAATCATGAAGTGGATACCGGTGTTTCCGGAGCAAGCTGCATGACACAGAAAGAACCTTTGGATTTCCGAGAAGTAGGAGAAAAAATTTTGAAAAAGTATGTATCTGTGTGTGAAGGACCCCTTAAAGAACAAGAATGGAATACAGCAAATGCAAAACAAATTTTAAACTTCTTTCAGCATCATACTAACCAGTAAGTTCACATATTCCTTTTCAAAGAGAAAAACAAAACAACCCGTGAGATGGAAAAGTTTCAGAAAAGAAGACATATTGACACTGAGCTTAAGAATGTTAACACCAAATAAAGATAACCAGCATGGTTACCTATTTTTAAATGCCATCACCATCTTTCATTATGTATTTTTAAATTTATGAAGGAGCAGTTCTTTAATTTCTAAGATGGCATGTATGTTATTTTAATTCAGCCATCCTGTAACTAATCTAAGTAGGACTCCAGTTTAGTTTTTTAGGAATTTTTTTATTACTTTAGGTGGCTTTTTTTATTGTGACATAAAATTGACCATTTTAAATACTTTTAGATTATTTTTAAGTCTATCTTGAAGCTATGCTTCAGAGATTAAAATCAAGTCACCTCATTGCTAGAGATGGATAAAAAATGGGCAAAATAGAATATTTTGACTAGTATTTAAATACTGCCATTTCCAGAATAAGATAAATAATGAAAAGCCACGAAAGAATTGTTTCATTTTTTTTCACCATGTATTACTAATATATTTAAAATTTTTATGCTATTGGGTATTATATAAACATTTTCAAATGATTTTCCTGTTTTGTTTAAAAGAAGATGGATGGCTTATCAAATGAGTAATGAAGATGAAACCAAGTTAGGTTAGTCCGTCATTAGCTCATATGTGTTTAGAGCACACCTTTTCAGATGTATTGAAATTTTACTATTTTTGTCTTTAATGATAGAGATGAGTGATAAAGGCCAGAGAACCTAACTTGCTATCTTGCTTACAGTATTTCTGTCTACCTCAACTCCTCTCATCATCTTGGGATGATCTGTCTAATACCTTCCTGATACCCTTGACTTCTGTGCCAGTGACTTCATCACATTCCAGAACGTACTGCCATGGCTACACCATGACTGACAATCACCACCTTAAATTTCTCTTTCTGAAATCTTAAATTTCAGTAAGTGATAACAGTTCATATCTTTCCAGGTTTTTCACTTTCTCATTTTTCTTGATTTTTCTTTCCCTTTATTTCTATTCTGTTGTCTTTTTAGCTTCTTCACAGCCTTCTCCTCTTGACTGTTCCTCTTTTTCCTAAACCATCAGCCCCTTTCAGATTTTCTTCTTTCCCTGTCAAGCTTCAGCTTTATAAGGGGCACCAGATGAAGTGCTCTCCACAGCCCCTTCAAGTCCGTTGTCCCCTTGGCCTTCAGTCTAACCATTTTGCACATCTCGCCATTGAATTTATCCTGTCACACACCTTTTCTGGAATGCTGTGTCCTATGTGAAGTTCATGTAGCCCTTCAAGGGGTAATCCCTCTTCAACTTTAGAAGAGCCTTCAGGTTAAGCCTTTTGTTCATTCCTGCTGTGGGTCCTCTCCTTTTCTCATCGTGGCTAATGTAAACCTCACCACTTTCTTCATGTCCTCTATCTCCTCCCTTAGCATATGGCTCTTGGTCCAATCTTAGAAAATTCAGACTATGAGGAGTTCGATTTCTATTTCCCAGCTTTGCTTACTCATTTTCCCCATTTTTAGAAGAAAAGAGGTCACCTGCTTCCTTTTGAAAGCTGATCTCCACCTCTCCTCATTTCCCCTGGGGCTGCTTTTTTTTCCTGCTTGCCCCTTAGGTATTGGTCTTCCCTGAAGGTCTGCTTTCTCTCTCCCTCCCCTTTTTCTTCCTTCTCTCTTTCTCTCTCTCTCTCTTTTTAATTTTAAATATTCCTAGGTGATGTCATTCATAGCCCTGGATGCTTCTGACAGCTATAATGTTAGGCTGACTTCTAGACTTGCAACTCGAATCACAGCTTCTCCTGCTCTCTGAGCCTTCCTTCTAACTGCCTATTAAATATCTTCACTTAGATAATTTTAGTAATTCAGTATGTCCAAACAACTAACCCTCATCTTTCATTTAAAATCCTTTTTGGCTCATGTTTTGTTTTTCTGTGTTTTTGGTTTTGGTTTTGGTTTTTGGTTTTTCACAGAGCAAGGCAACAAAGAATGCCACAATCTAGTTTCTGTCTACCTTCCCGGTTTTCTCTCTGTAGTGCATCCCATGTAATGTTCTAGTTCAGTGTTCTCAGACATTTACAACCCAGGCTGCTTTTTGATAAACATTCTGATAGAGCCTCTTGGTACAAGGAAAAATCTCCCTATCCCTGCCCCTGTCTCCTTACTTATCCTTACACAACAGATATTTTTATTTAACATAGCTTTTTAAGCAGTTTTACTATAAAAATACCTTTGTGCTTTCTAAGTATAAAGATTTAAATCATTTTTGGTATGTTTTTAGAACCACAAGCTCCCCACCCCCACCTTTTGGAGCATCATGATCAATTGCAAAGACTTCCAGTTCCTTTCCCAATGTGCTGTGTGTTTTTCACCTCAGTATCACTATTCTTTGCAGATCTTATTACTTCAGCCGGGAATGCTTTGCCCTTCTTTGTGGCCAACTGAATACTTATGCTTTAGGACTCAGCTCCAGTGATTCTGGATCCATAAGGTTTTTTCAGCGCTTTTCAGTAATGTTAAATGTTCCTCTGCTTCTGTTCCCTTAATATTCCTTCCCATGTTATCAAACAGGGAACACTGCTTTATAGTTCTTTTCCTTATGAGTTGGTGGACTCCATATTTAAAAAATGTATCTTCATACATTGTGCTTAATGAATGGTAGGCCCTTAGTGATGTTTTTTGGTTTGGTTTGGTTTTTAATTAATAAGAGACATGGTTCTTAAGTGCCGAACTCTGCACAAAAGGGTTGCTGCTATTGGATTCCAAACCACCATGCCCTCTACACCAGTGGTTAATAAGGCAAAAAAGAAATTAGTTCTCAGAGGAGTAAAGTATTATATAGATTTGGAACCTGAGAAAACCGTAACTTTCTCTTCAGAAACGGGAACTTCCATTTTGCCTTTATGACCCTTGGGAGCCACTTGGGTCTTTCACTGTCTGGTATAGTTATGAGGGTGCTACTGGGTGCTTTTTGTACAACTTTTCCATTCCCCACGTAATTGGAGAATAATCTATAGACCATAACAGTTAGACAGTGGTTTTTACTTGGGTGTATTACAAAACAATGAACAACAGGTTTTTGTATGTTTATGTTAAACCTAAGTAAATTCTATTTCATTTAGTGCAGAGTATCTTAAGAAAACAGATACTCTACATCAGGAAAGCACTATAATTCCCTCATCAACAATTTTTATGTGCCTGCTACGTGCCAGCTTTCATCTTAGGTGTTGATGACACAGCTTTGTAAAACATCATTTTTTTGGAGTTTATGTTCCAGTGGAGGAAGTTAACACATTTGAAGAAATAAATGTATTATGTGTTAAGTGGTTAGTGCTCTGAAGAATAAAGCAGGGTAAAGGGGTTGTGTGACTCTGGAGAAGAATGCTGTTTTATGTATGGTTGTTGGGAAGGCATGATTATATACTTTAGCATTAGCGTTTTCAAATTCTGTCCCTTTGGTTAAATGCCTTGCACATTCAATACATTCATAAAGTTTCTTCCTTATGAAGGTTCTAAGGAATGAGTCAGTCACTACTTAAGACCTTTTTTCCTTCGATTACATTTAAGGTGTTCTGCAGTGTGGGCTTCACTAATGAGTGAGTGGGAACCTAAAGGCCTTGTTGTGTTATTACACGAGGGTCTTTTCTCCATTTCGAGTTTTCTGATGGTTACTAAAACTGTTAAAGGATTTTTATTATAATCCTTAAATTTGTGTGTTTCTTTCGCAGTGTGAATTTTTTTATGTTACGTAGTTAAGTTTCAATGTAGGCTTTGAAACTTAAAGGCATATCTGCTTTGTGGCATTTATAGGGTTCCTGGCTACTATGAATTGTTTGATGCTGATTAAGTTTCATGACAAGATTTTCCCTCATTCCTTTGCATAGAGTGAGGTAAGGGTTATGGCTGAAATCCCACAATAAAATTACATTCCTACCTTTACCCTCCTACTGTGGATTCTGTGATGTTCATTGAAGTGAGAACTGTGCCTAAACGTATTCTCAGCTTCGTTTTAATGGCATTCTTAAAAACACACAACTGGATGACATGCTAGTTTTGTATTGCTTGGCACTCTTGCCACCTTCCAGGGCTCCTTTTCTGGCTCTAATAAGGACACCCTATCTGCAACAGAATCCAGGATTCTGTAGTTCTCTAGTGTCACTTCCTTCTATTATTTTTAATACAATATGAGATAACATGTTAGGAAGTATTATATTAAAATGCATTTACTGTATCCATAAATAAGTACGTGTTATACTGGTGTTCTTCATTGTTCTTTGTTTTCTTCTAGTGAAGATTTCCAAGTAAAATGTTTTGGAGCATATAATTTTTTAAATAAAACCATATTCCCATATTTGTATTGTGTTCTTTATTTTCTTTTATACCTGAGTGTTGTGTCAGAATGAAAACTTTCCATGTCTCTGTTTACTTTGACCTCTGAACATTATTTCTTATGGTGTTAAGTATATTGGTTAGGAATATGGGCTCTGGAGCCAGAGATCTGAGGTTAAATATTAGTTAGTCTTGTCATGTCCTAGTTATGTGGCTCCACATAAATTACTTAACCTTTCTATACCTTAATATCCTATTATTTAACAAAGGAGCACTAATAGTACCTACCTCACGAGTAATTGAAGATTAAATGAGTTAATGTTCTAAGTTGCTTAGTTCAATGCTTAGCACATTCTAAGAGCTCAAAAGACTTAGTTTTTATTATTTTCTTTAAGTCTAGTTCTGTGTTTCAGTTCATCATGCTGAAAATATACTTATCAGCCAGAGTAATTGAGTGACAAACTCTGGTTCAGGCCAGTGAGCACTCATTCACTGCCTTGTCAGTTCAAGTGGTGCTAGCCTTTCTAAATGAGAAGCAAGTTTCAGAAAAGAAATTAACTGGCTGGATAGATACCTCAAATGTTTGTTTTAGGGATGGCCAGAAGGAAACCTACAATTTTCTGAAAGTTTTCAGCCCCGGTCTCCAATGTATATATACTCTGTATACCAACATCAACAGTTACCTATCAGCCTGATTGACTTGACTTCTAGTACCTTTTTGGTCACACTTAACTTACAAGTCAGAGGCATTTAATGAAATATTAGTCATCCAATATCCTGTTTAAAAAATAGGTTAAACTAGAATATCCACATGATTGAATGGTATATAGCTGTAAAAAGCAAAGCCAGATATTTCTGTATAATGCTATGGAGTCGTCTTAAGTGAAAAACAAGGTGGAAAATGTGTATAGTACTATTTAAGAAAGGGAATAAATGTGTGTATAACCTTGTTTGCTTGTCTGTGTGTGTGTGTGTGTGTGTGTGTGTGTGTGTAATTTAAAAATTTTTTAAAAAGGTACTTATGGTGGGAGGTATGGAGAAAGGGACCAGATGGAGAGGGGACCAGGATGGAAGCTAGACTTCTCTGAATATACCTTGAATTTTGTACATTTGACTTCGGAAGCATGCACTACATTTTTAGGAAACAAGATTAGATCTAAATTAAAAGCAACCCCTAAAATTCCAAAGCAAAATAAAACAAATGAGCTGTATTGTGCTCATTCAAGTTGGCTTAACTACACAGAAATATTTCAATTATTTTTAAAGAACAATAATTTGCATTTCCCTAGTGGATATCCCCAAGGACTATGAAGAAATCAAACTCATCAGGAATTATAGTTTTAATAACACTGCTGATATCATTAGAAATGCTGATTTTCGGTGTTAGGGAAAAGAGACTAAATTGGAATCAAAGAAGGTAAGTAAAAATTCTGTAGTTCTGAAGTTGAATAGAAAATAACAGTATGAACTCTTATTTTCTCTACATAAAGACCACCAAAGAATGTCCAAATACCATTTCCTATTAAAATGAACCAGGGCTCTGGGGCGTGTGGGTGGCTCTGTTGGTTAAGCATCTGACTCTTGCTTTGAGCTCAGGTCATGATCTCACAGTTTGTGAGTTCGAGTCTCTGGGGATTCTCTCTCCCTTTCTCTGCCCCGCCACCCACCCACCCCCCACCCCCAATAAATAAATAAACTTTAAAAAAAGTGAACCAGAGTTCCCTGGAGATGAGGCTGATTCTCTATCATGGGCGGGACAATCAAATGGTTGATGAGGGACAACTTTTATTTAATCATCTAATCAAAGAAATCATAAAATTAGAATAGTACTACTTCACAACTTGTAAACAGTAATCACTGATAACTCTTAAATGCTTGAGATGAAAAGATTATGAGGAAGTTGGTAATAAATGGATCAGACTTTAGAAACCATTGATCAAGTTTGAACATTAGAAAATGGGAATGACAATTTGAGTACACAATACCACTTAGAGATATTTTGCAAAACCTACCTAAATTTGATCAAGCCTTAGAGGAATGGGTTAAAGACCCCATTGAAGGCCTTCAAGAAAGTCCAGAATGTGGTCCTGGAAGTCCAGAAAGACCAACCTGGTTTCTTTATTAGTTGCAAAGGAAAATAAAGGAGAGGGAACCTACAGAATGAACAAGTTTTAGGAATAGATCAACCAAATGTAACAGGTGGATCTTGTTTGGGTCATGATTTAAAGAAGCCAATTGCAAAATATAAATAAATATATATACTTGAGGCAGGTGAGGAAGTTAAGCCCTGACCAGATACTTGGTGATTTTAAAGAACATTAGTTAGCTGATAATAGTAAAGGGCTTATGTTTATTAAAAGTTACCTTAATTTTTAGAGACCTATACTGAGATATTTAGGGATGAAATGATATATCTGGGATTTGCTTAAGAATAATCTTGATTTGGGGATGTGTGCATTGGGTAGAGATAGTGACGGAGCAAGATTGATAAACTGGTGACTTGAATCAGCTAGTGGACACATGGGATTACGTTACTTACAGTAATAATTTTCACAAAAAATTATAACCCATACATTTATAAGCGCTCACACTTATTTGTAAAAGCTGAAAATTATTTCAGTACTTGAACTGATACACATTTTTTTTTTCTTGTGCTAGTTCTTTCTTGGTCCTAGAGAGGGAGAAGTGCCAGATGGTTAATCAATTCATGGTTCTTTTACTTGTGTGGACAGCCTTGCAGAAGTAAGTTTGCAGTTGGATTGCTTATTGGTCATTAGCAACAGCATGCAAGAAAAATAATGAAACTTTAAATTCAGATCTTACAGAACCTCAGTTATCAGGCTTTTTCAGATTTCTGTTATTTGAGATTTAGATTCCTGGATATTTACTTCTGAAGTGTAAATTCAGGCCAGTAAGTAGTGTGTCCATTATTAAGCATTATTAAACAGTCTGCTTAATATATCTGAGGGGACAGTGTGTGTGAGCGGTGAATGTATATTATGTTAAATATAATTATATTTTAAAATATTTGTATATACAACTTACATAAATGTTCCCTGTAGCCTAACATGATCCTTATAGATTTCAATAATTTTATGAATTTGTTGATCCTGTCTTCTAGTTTGAAGGCTGTAAAAAAAAAGTGGGGTTAATTTTTCAACAGGTGCGTTGGGTTATGTTTGGTGTCTTCACAAAAAGAAATAGAGTTGCAGGTCCTGGATATTGTAAGCAACTACTGGCTGACAATGAGTTAAGCCAGATTATGTAGGGATTCATTTATTGTGTCCATTCTCAAGAATGTGGATTTTTAAAGCCACTGGATTGTTTTGAATGGGGTATATTTTTCTTGTTGCGTGGTATAACAGTGCTGTCTTGCTTTTTATTGAATAATCCTAGAGCCTTAAAACTATGTATTTATTACATTAGATTGAAATTATCCTTTAAGAAACAGATGTAGCTTTGAGCAGAGTGTTTTGGATTAGAATGAAGTAATCCAGCTGAAAATGAATGACATAGTACTAAGTAAGTATTTGTGTCCTTTTACCAATAGGGACCATAATCAGTTCAATATAATAGGTTACCCTTGTTGAAAAGAAAACCACAGTCCCCAGATGGAATCTTTTTGAAGGGCCGCACTTCAGCAAACCAAGACCTTACCTACCTGCAGTTTCAGCCCCCTCAGAAATGTAACCTTTAGCCAGTCAACAAGGAATCCCTGGCCAGCACTAGGAAACTTACTGATAGACCTCTTCCGTTCCCCTTAGGAGGATGACCTTGTCTACAACAGTGTACTTTTTGCCAATAATTTACTTTTTTTCTATTCTTTTTTTTTTTGCCTGTAATGATTTTTGTCTATTCTCTGCACCCAAGATCAAGATTCTCACTGATCAGCCAGCCAGGCACCACCTGGCCCCTTTTCTGCCTTTTAAAAACCTTTCTTTTCCTGCAGCTCAAGACAGCTCCTTTCTATTTGCTAGTTGGGATGCTAGTTGGGATATTCATGAATTGTGCAATAAAGCCAATTTGATCTTTTAAATTATTACGTTGAATTTTTGTTAATACCTTGTAATGTGGTATAATATGGTATAGCTTCCTAAAGCCTTTTCATAGTTAAGGTCGGACAAGGTGAGTAAAACGGATAACTGTTTCAACAGATTTTAAAAAAACACTCACTAGCAGGATTTGAACAGTACCTGGCTTCAGTATTCAGGCAACAGTTTTCAAAAGTATCTTGCTTTTCCTCTCATTCTAGCCCTATTTTGCTGCCCTTTTATGAGATGCCTACCTTCAAGAATTTTTAAATGTACCTATATTTTAAAGTAGAGCGAATATAGACTCCTCACCTTGGCGCAAGGTCTTTCATGCTTGAGCCCCTGACCACCTCTCTACTCTCTGCCAATCTCCAAGAACACAAACAGTAAATCAGAGACTGAAAAACAAAAACCGTCTACACCTAGCAGTGCAGTGCATAAAATAGCGGAAGGGAGCCATCTATTGAATAAGGATCACCTAGGCCCAGATGAGGTGTAAATGGGTCTCAGACAGAACGTAACCAAGTTACAACGCGGCCCAGAGACGTCCAGTGACCGAGGTTAGCGCGGCTGAGGTCTGAAGTGAACGGGGCGGGGGCGAGGGCAGTGAGCGGGAGCTTCGGGCTCGGTTCCAGGCAGCACGCGACTGGGCCCCGTCTCGGTTCCCTTCCGGGTGGGGAGGCCGCCCGCCGGGGGACGTGGAAGGAGCCCGGCGCGAGGCACCAGGCGGGAGGCCAGGCGCCCGGAGCCGGACGCGCGCGCGTGACTCTGCGGCGCGTCACGTGCGGCGGCGGCGGCCATGGCGGGAAGCGAGCCCCGCAGCGGCGGGAGCTCCCCTCAGCCGCACCACAGCGACTGGAGCCGGCTGGAGGCCGCCATCCTCAGCGGCTGGAGGAACTTCTGGCAGTCGGTGGGCAAGGAGAGGGCAGCGCCGAGGGCCTCCGAAGAGGAGGCGGACGAGGAGGCCAGTACCCTGACGCGGCTGCCGGTGAGTGGCGGCCACCGGCCGCGGAGGACCGAGGGGCCGGGGCGGGAGGGGCGCCCGGCTCGGGCGACCCCTGGGGGTCTCGCCGCACCCGGGTCTGGGCCTGCCTTGTCCTGCAGCCCTTCCGGGCCATGTCGTCACCCGGGAGTAACAGTTGACCAGAGACGCCGGGGGCGTTGACCTTTGGTGCTCCGCAGCGGGACCGCTGGTCGCAGCGAAACTCACCGTCAGGGGGCGCCCTGGTAACCGGCCGGCCCATCCTCACGTCTTCCACCCCCCAAAACACCACCCCCCCTGACGGGCCTTCGGGAAAAAGACCACGCCAGACTCTCTGGGTAGCCTGGGGAAGCCTTCAGCGACCGTGTTGTCAGCGGCTTTCATCTCAGGTTCGGTGCCCCAGAACACCGGGGGGAACCGCAGAACGCTGCGAGGACCCTGGGGCCCTGCTCTCACCGCCTGGTTCAAGTTCCGGCGCTCACACTTCACTGAGAAGAAGTTAAAAGCGCCTCAAGTGGCGACAGGCCGCAAGAATTATCCACCTCCTCTGTTAAACTCTTCAGGCAGATGGGGCAACGGAGAGGCGAGAAATTTCTTAGAAATGATTAAATTCCGTGTCTCAGCTGAACCCTTGACACCTCCCTCTGACATCTCTCAGAAATTGGAAACTGCAGGCTCGGAATGCCTCCAAGGTTCTCCCTTTCGTAGAGGTTCTTTGAAATAATAGATTTTATGGAGGAACTCAGATGACACATTTATTCTTTGATCTAATGCAAGATCAGCAGTTTGTCATCTTGATAAAGATTTTATTTTGAAGGCTAGATTATTTCCGTAAGTAATTTGTTCAGATGAACGATGTGGCATGATATCCATGAGGAGAAATTAAGGATCTGGTTATTTTGCTTGAAAAGTGAATGTTACAGTGTGTCAAAAATTAAGTGCAGTTATCTTTCTTTTTTGATGGCAGGAAAATAACTTCAGAATGATAGATCTCATTAAAAATACTGACAAATTAATCTTTGGTTAACTACTATAATTCTTTACTAATTTTGTAATTTATCTTGATATAATCATTAAAAAGTCTTCGGTTGACTTTTGGTTGCCTAATATGATAAAATAATTACCTGGTATTTTATAATTTATCAGGAAACAGTTTCCCAGGATACATTTTTTTGTGCCTTATACCCATTTGCTGTTTCCATTTCAGATTGATGTACAGCTATATATTTTGTCATTTCTTTCACCTCATGATCTGTGTCAGTTGGGAAGTACAAGCCATTATTGGAATGAAACTGTACGAGATCCAATTCTGTGGAGATATTTTCTGCTGCGGGATCTTCCTTCTTGGTCATCTGTTGACTGGAAGTCTCTTCCAGATCTAGAAATCTTAAAAAAGCCTGTATCAGAGGTCACTGATGGTACAGTTTTTGACTACATGGCGGTGTAAGTATCTAGTTTTATGAAACAAATATATTATATTTGGCAATATTACAAGTCAGTAGTCTAAATTAGTCTTGACCCTGCCACTGATTTGTTTCATGGAATTTGGGTCTAAATGTCCTTTTGTAAAAATTCGGGATTAAGTTAAATGACTTCCTTCATAGGACCCTTTCAGTTTTCACGTTTTATTATTTTTTATTATTTCATTTTTGCCTGTGGTGCCTGACTCTGGAGTATTTGAATAATATAGTAGACAGTTCATATGCCAAGAAGTAAAACGCTTCTTAAAATTTTCATTATCCTTAGAATATTTGATGTTTTGTTTAACTGCTAAATACTTTTCTGTGTCCAAACAAGGAATGATTAGCAATCAGAGACCAGTTCTTTAGCAGAGAAGAAAAACATTCCGAAGGTTCTGGGAAATAAGATTTTGTTATCACCCAAAAGCACTGACTTTTAAATGTCATGTAGCTGAGAGAATTAATGTTCTTGAACAACTGTAGTGCATTGGATTCTATGGGAGTGCTTTTTGTATGTTTACTTAACGTAATTTTCATGCAATAAAAAAGGTATTATCCTTGTGTTATGGATGTGGAATTGAGGTTCAGAATGGTTATGGATTTGCCTAAGGTCATATAGCTTATAAGGGGCTGATCTGATTGGAATCCTGGCATGCTGCCTTAAACGTATGTCATTGGGTCTGGATATAACCTATTTTATTGAGGGCCCCAAATTTAAGGCATGGTAAATAAAATAAAAAAATATTTGTGTTTAAGGTAAAGATTTTAGTAGCTAGATATAGGGTTTTTTTCATATTTTATTTAAATTATTCAGATCATTCCTTATTCCAGTGTAGATGCTAAGTCTTATGAGGTGAGGCTACTTTATTAAAATGTAGATGTTATGTTATATATAATTTCAGTAAGTGCTACTGTACTCTTAATTGGCTAGTTGTTATTTCTGCATTGTACCACAACCAACCATAGCATCAAGTATATCATGCTGTGGAACCAACTTTTCCCCAGGAATAGTAATAGTCATAGTAGCTACCATTTGTGATCATATAAAAGTTTTTTTTTCTTTAGCTATAATTAGCATACAGTGTTATATTAGTTGCAGGTGTACAATATAATGATTCAACAATTATATGCATTTTTCAGTGCTCATCTTGATGTGTGTACTCTTAATACCCTTTATATCACGAATCCCCCTAAAACCTCCCCTCTGCAAACTACCAGTTTGTTCTCTGTATTTAAAAGTCTGGTTTTTTTTTGGTTTCTGTCTTTTGTTTTGTTCATTTGTTTTGTTTCTTAAATCTATAAATTAATTTCTGATCCTTACAACCCTGGGTTAATTGTTATTGCTCAAATAATTCAGAGTAAAAAACTTAGTTCAGACTATAAGTGGCTTATACGAACAATAGTGGTGAGGCTTGGCCAGATCTACCTAGCTTCAAAGTAGATTTTTTTTTTCTTTCTTGAATTACAAGATTCCTAAATAAAGATCATTATCTTGTTAGGTTACTGATTGTCTTAACCAGCTTGATTTAGTTAAAAGGGTTTAGGTTTTATTTTGATTTCGGTACTGTGTTTTAATAGTATGTTCTTGCTAACATGTAGAATTGCTAATTTAGAAATATATCACTATTGAAAGAAACAATTGGTTTTTCACATGGTTCTTAGTTGGCTAGGTTATCCATAAGGAACATTTGAGCTTTTGTGTATAATTAACACTCATTAAACTGTTACATTAGAGGCTGTTAATAAGAGTACTTGAGAAATTTGGTCATATTGGTGGCCTTAGTAATTTTTTTTTTTTACCTCTAGAGATATGTATGCTAACTATCCATGTAGCTTATCTTTTAGTGTGGGGTTTTTCAATCTTGGCACTACTGACATTTTAGACCAGGTGTTTAGACCAGTTGTCCTGTGCACTGTAGGATGTTTAGCATCATTCTTTATGTCTGTCCACTAGATACCAGTAGCACCACCCACTGACCCCCAGTTGTAATGACAAAAATGCCTGACAGTTGTAATGATAAGAAAGGCTGTGATTTCACTACTCTATGTAGTGAGTTTTTACAGCTGCAACAAATGTTAGACCAAGTGTTCCATAAGAAGAATCTAAATAAAAGATTAGAAGTTAAGAAACCACTTCCTGGGGGAAACTTTCTCAGCTTCTGGACCACTTTTACTCCCAGAGCACCTTTGCTTTTTTCCTATCATGGCATTCAGCATACATATTATAATGGTGTCTGTCTTCCATGTCCCTCCATGAGGATTGTAACTATATAATTGTATCTCTTGTGTCTGGCAGATTCTCAATAAAGTATATATTGTTGAATGAATAACTGGCTAATTTTTGTTTTCTGTCTTAATTTTCTACTTGTGACAATTTTATACAGCTATAAAATGTGCTGTCCATATACAAGAAGACCCTTGAAATCTAGCCGTCCTATGTATGGAGCTGTCACGTCATTTTTACACTCATTGATCATTCAGAATGAACCACGATTTGCTATGTTTGGACCAGGTTTGGAAGAACTGAATACATCTTTGGTGTTGAGCTTGATGTCTTCAGAGGAACTTTGCCCAACAGCTGGCTTGCCTCAGAGGCAGATTGATGGTAATTTTCATGTTAATCTATAGTATATAATAATTAAAGCACTTTGGGCTTGACACTAATGTTGAATAATAAGAAATTTTTAATTAATTACATCTCTGATGTAATGAAATAATAGTAATTTGGTGAATAGGAGCCCCAATGTCCCCCCTACCCACCCAATCCCAATGGATTGAAAGAATTGATTTACTTTTTTATGAGAGATGCACTTTCCCTTATTGTCTCAAGTTTGTGTAATACAGAATGTAAGATTATATGAAAGTGAGTTATATGTTATACAGATGTTTGTACAGTAGTTATCATATTTTAAAAGAATGTTAACAGCAAAAACCGTTCAGCATCTGCTGTGTGCAGAGTACTTTGATATACATTGGAATTTTTAAAAAGAGCTCAATTAATACCTTCATCTTCTTTCTATGAAAACAATAACCATGGAGTTAGTTGGCAAGCAGGAGATATAGAAAACATATGTAACAGGATAATCTAGCTTATGCTTTTACTCATTCATTTATTGAGAGCACCTGTTAGATGCTAAAGGTACAGAGATTTAAAACAAACATGAGAAATCTTTGTCTGCCCTGAAGATACTTAGTCTAGGTAAGGGCAGAGACAAGTATGCAGCTGATTAGAATATGGTGTAATTAGCCTCCTGGATAGAAAGATAAGGGTCAAAGAAGGCTCCATGTTGAACAGGATGCCTTATTTGAGTCATTAAGATGAATTAAAGTAGGCTATTAAAATAAGGGGTAAAAGTATTATGAGCAGTGAGAACTACATTTCTAAAAGCACAGAATTCTGGATTTATGTGACACTTTGAAGTAGCTCTGTGTGTCTAGAGTGGGGCTAGGTGAGAAGACACGTGAATGTCATGCTTAAGCATTTGGGAGCTGTCAAAAGATTTTAAGCAGAGGAGCGAGATGATCAAGATTGCATTTGAAAAAGATCTGGCTCCTAAGTGGAAAATTGATTAGAGGAGGCTATAAAGACATGGAGACCCATTAAGAAACCACTAGAATATTGTGAAAAAAATGTGAAGGATACAGTGTTGACAAGTATGTATTAGTAGTATTTCTGATGTGGTTTTCATCTTGGTTGATGGTGCCATTTACTAGGATAAGGAAACACAGGAGGAGGAAGAGAAACTTTATTGAGAGATCTGTATAGGGAGAATGACAGCCACTCTTTGGAATATGCCGAGTTTGATAACTCTGAGAGATATAAATAGAGATGCCCGCTATAAGCAGTCCACTTGAATGGAAGCTCCATTAGGGCAGGCTAGCTTTATTCTTGGCTGTGTTTTGATGTCAGGCATGTAGTAGACACTCAGTATATATATTTGATAAGTGAGTGAACAAATCACTTTGTGGATTACTCTGCATCCAGATCTCAAGAGTAAGATCTGGGTTAGAAATCAAGATTTGGGAATCATACGGTGTCTGCATGGAGTTGGAAGTTTCTGAGTATAGAGAGGAATATTGTGAACCAAGTGCTGAGATCTTCAGTGAATGTTTAGAGGAAGGAGTTGTCAAAAGGAGATTCTTAAATGATGAGGCCGTAAAAGGGGAGATGGTACTCCCCTTGAATGGTGTGTCTGAATAGAGATGAAGTTTTGAAGAGAGTTGGTGAGTGCTTGGACATGGAAGCGAGGAGTAAAGAGAACAGTGACTTCACCTCTCTACTCTGATATGTGAGAGAATAAGCAGTTTTGTTACTTGAGAGTCTTCTTCAAGAGCAGCAGCACTTAAGGGCAGGCCAGTTGCAGATAAGGCTATGAGATGCAACACTTAAAGAAGAGGTTGGAGGGGTGCCTGGGTGGCTCAGTCGGTTAAGCATCTGACACAAGTCATGATCTCACGGTTCGTGGGTTCAAGCCCCACATCAGGCTCTGTGGTAACAGCTAGCTCAGAGCCTGGAGCCTGTTTCAGATTCTATGTCTCCCTCTCTCTCTGACCCTCCCCTGCTCACACTGCCTCTCTCTCTCTCTCAGAAATAAATAAAACATTACAAAACAATTTTTTTTTAAAAAAGAAGAGGTTGGAAATATGGGGAAATTTGCGGATGATGAAATGCTAATTTTATTCTTCAGACAGCAGTAGAGGTGATTGTTTTGAAAATGCCAATCTAATTATGCCTCAAACGCTGCAAGATCAGGGAAGAATAGCAGGATAGGTCATTGGTAAGATGGTGTAGAACAGCATGGAAATCATACTGGGCTGAGGTTAGATGTGTCGAGAGGGTAATCTCTGGAAATTAAACTGATAAAAACAAAGATCAGAGATATAATAGAGTTGTTTCTATGATCTCTTTTGGGGATCTCTTTGGGGAATTTGTATACCAGACCTGGTGGCCAGGGGACTAGGGTTATGCTTGCAGTCTCAGCCACCAAGATCTCTGCATATACGTTGCCAGGAATGGTGACACAGGATGGCATGGCAGGTTTATTTAAGCCACTAGATTGGCTTTAATTCAGGAATCAAGAATATGAAAGGTGGAGTTGTCCTAAAGAGGGAAGTAAAGGTGAAGCTATAATAAGTTGTTTTTGAAGAATGATGGCTTTGAAGGAAAGAGATATAATTAGATAGGCATTTTTAAGCCATCTCTCCAGTTGCGGTCAGAAGAATGGACAGTAGGGGGCAAAAGTGGATGTAGAGACTGGTTAAAAGTGATTGCAAAAGTCCAGGTGAGAGGTATGATAATTTAGACTAAAAGGAGGGAGTGAGGATGGAGAAAAGTAGACAGATAGAAAAGGACATTGATATAGCAAAAGGAAAGAGAGTCATGGAAGAAAGAAGGATCTTTTCACGATGCAAAAGAAGAATCGGCTCCTGAGGGTTAACACAGCCAAAGAAGGGAAGATTTTAAGAAAGAAGGACAAATAACAATGTTGAATAATTCAGGTGAAAGTAGTAAAAAGCTAGAATTTAGTATCACTCTGCCAGGAGCTTTACATATACAGTCTCATTTAATGCTTACAATATTTCTAGGAAGTATATATTATTTCTGTATTTTGATGTCAAAACTGAGGCTCACAAAATATAATGTGTGGCAAATTCAGGATTATAACCCAACTCTAATTCCAAATTTCAGTATCTGGTATTTCCTCAATTTTCTTAGGTGATATTGATTCCCCATCAATTTAAAGACATTTTCAGAAGGAGAAATTTCACTGAATGTATACATGGAGTATATAACTAATGAGAAACATAAAAATTGGAAAATGAGTCTTAGTCTTGAGGGTAAATATTAGTAGCTGATATGATGCAGCTGCTACTGATATGATGATACAAAAAGGAATGCCATAAGCCTAGCAGTTCTTTATTCTTTATCCATATTTTTATTGCCATGTAAATGGAAATTGCATACAGCATCTTTTTTTCAACACAGACATTTCATTTTATTCCAAAGCTATGTGTAACTTGCCATGGACTTTTTAGTTGCTCATTTTGCTTGCACTGGGTAATTTTTTTCAACCTGATGTTTTTCTATATTTATTGATAACTGTAATTTTCTTCTTTAGGTATTGGATCAGGAGTCAGTTTTCAGTTGAGCAACCAACATAAATTCAACATCCTGATATTATATTCCACTACCAGGTAAGGCTGCCTACTTGGTGGCCTACCTGAGAGATCAGGACTTGGATACTTTAGGGGGATGGAGCCTCTTTAGTATTTGTTTATGTTTTATGTTTACATTTTTCTTATAGAAAGGAAAGAGATAGAGCAAGAGAAGAACATACAAGTGCAGTTAACAAGATGTTCAGTCTACAGAATGAAGGAGATGATCAACAAGGAAGCCGGTATAGTGTAATTCCACAAATTCAGAAGGTGTGTGAAGTTGTTGATGGATTCATCTATGTTGCAAATGCTGAAGCTCATAAAAGTAAGCATTATCTTATTTTCTTTTTAAGAGCACTTTTTTTTTTTTTTGCAAAGCATATATGAAAAGACATTAGTAGGCTTTACTGTGGCTTCTTAAGAATATAATGGTTAATTTTAAAAATGTGGTTCTAGTACCATTACTGTTAATTGTGGGCTTTCAAACTTTGGTATGCATTCAGATCATCTAGGCAGCTTGTTAAAAACATACCTGCTTTATTGCTACTCTGATGAATTTTATTTCATAGATTTGGGTTGGTGCATGGTCATCTGTTTTTTTAATAAGCACCTATAGAATTTTGATGAATATCAAAGTTTGATACTATAACTACATAGTATTTCTTTGTTGTATGCTTCTGTACTTGTTATTGATGTTTTGTCTGCTTCTGGCTCTGTTCAAATAATTTATGCAGATAACTGAAAATTTTTACCTTTGTTTTAATTGTCCAGATAGTACAGAGATATGTGGGGTAGAGTAAGTAAGTAGATTGGTTAAGAACACTCTCTACATATTCGGAATAATTACCCTTCACATTGTTATTTAGGCATGAAATCAGAGTATTATTGGCCATAAGCCAGTATTACAATTTTTCTTCAAAATCTTTTGTGAATAAGTTAGGGCGTGAATATGTAAAACATTGTTCTCATTCAGAACAAGGTAGCAGTAGCCACCCAACTGCTGAAAGACTTTAATGTTTATGGTGCCCTGAAGTTAACCACAGCAACAAAAGCCAAGTCCAGCTCAACTATTGACTAGTTGGACTCAACCCACTGCATTAGTGACCTAACAGAAGAAGCAGCATGCCCATTTCTGGGAAGAGATTTTCTTCATCTCAATCTCTACTATTCTTCTACATAAAACATTTAATATTAAATTTAAAAGTATAAGACACAGGGGCACCTGGGTGGCTCAGTCAGTTAGGTGTCCGACTTTGGCTCAGGTCATGATCTCACGGTTCGTGAGTTCGAGCCCTGTGTTGGGAGGTGACAGTTCGGAGCCTGGAGCCTGCTGAAGATTCTGTGTCTCCCTCTTTCTTTGCCCTTCCTGTGCTCACACTCTGTCTCTCTGTCTCTCAAAAATAAATAAATGTTAAAAAAAATTTTAAAAATATAGATCAATTCTGTTTAAAAAAATTATAAGACACAAAAAATAAAAATGAAAAGACCCATTGTCCAGAGACAAAGCAATCAGTGAAATCAGACCCAGAGATGACCCAGATGTTGGCACTCTCGGACATTAAAATAACTATGATTAATATGTTAAAGGATCTAGTGGAAAAAGTGGAAAATATGTGTGAACAAAGGGATTTTCAGCAAAGTAAGTTATGAAAACATAAAATATGAATGCTAAGTATGAATATATAACAGGTGAACAAGAAACAAGTGAACAGTTTCCTCAATGGATTTATCAGCAAAAGAAACCTTTGGTGAACCGGAAGATAAACTAATTGAAATTATCCAAAGTAAAACACAGAGAAAAGAGTAGGACTGGGGAACAGAGCATCAAAAACTGGGGAAACCCATCAAGGGAAACAACTGAGGGGTCAGCATAATTTTTCTTAAGGGGCCAGATAGTAAATATTTTAGGTGTATAAGCCATATGGTCTCTCACAGTTACTCAGCTTAGCTGAATGCAAAGGTAGCCATAGGGAAATTATAGTGAATGGGCATGACTGTTTTAGAAATAATTTGTATTTATAAAAATAGATCCATAGAATATAGTATGTCAATCCCTGATCTAACTCGTGTAATTTCAGCCCCAAAACATGAAGAAGGAAAACAAGGAAAAAGAAATTTTTGAACAGATAATGGCCAAATATATTTCAAAATTACTGAAAGACAACAGACCATAGATCCAAAATACTCAGAGAACTCAAAACAAACAAGCAAATAAGTAAATAAAATAATACATAAATAGAAAAATATACCTAGATACATTATAGCCAGACTGATGAAACCAAAGACTAAGAGATTATCTTGAAGGAAGCAAAAGAAAAAGGAAGCATACATACAGAGGGCCAAAGGTAAAGAATGAGAATTCCTGAAAGAATTGCTGAAGGCAGTGAAGAGAAATCTATTTTTCTTAATTTTTTAAAATGTTTTTTATTTATTTTTGAGAGTCAGAAAGAGCTCACGCAGGGGAGGGGCAGACAGAGGGAGATATAGAATCCGAAGAGAGCCTCCAGACTCTGAGCTAGCTGTTAGCACAGAGCCCAACGCAGGGCTCAGACCCACGAACCATGAGATCATGACCTGAGCCGAAGTCAGACGCCCGACACTGAGCCACCCAGGCGCCCGAGAAATCTTTACAGTATTGCAAAACAGGGAAAATCTTACATTCAGCAAAGATATCTTTCAAAAATGAAGACAGAATCAAGACTTTCAGACAAAACCTGAGAAAGTTCATTCTTAGCAGATTTGCATTACAAGAAATAATAAAGAAAGCTCTACAGTAGAAGGTAGAAGGCTGTGATACCAGATGGAAAATTGGATCTTAAAAAAAAAAAAAAAAGGAAGAGGAGCCCTGGGATGGAAACAATATAGCTATATATATTTTTTCCCCTAATCTTAACTTTTTAATGATTATGTAAAGGAAAAATAATGTATTGTGGCTATATGGTATTTTTAAGTAAGATATATAATAATAACAAACCACATGAAAGAGAACAAATGGAAATACATTGGTACAAGGTTCTCCTATATGTAAAGTTGTATAATACTGTGTAAAGTTGTATAATACTGTCTAAAGTAGATTGTTACAAGTTAAAAATGTACATTGTAAATCCTTGAGCAACCACTAAAAAAAGTGTGAGAGAGGTACAATTGAATTAAGTCAGAAGTTAAGATAAAAGGGAATCATTATAAAATACAGTCCAAAGAAGGTAGGATAAAGGAACAAAGAACAGATGGGACAAGTGAAAATCTGAGAGATCTATGATAGATTTAAATGCACCCTGTTGATAATTACATTAAATGTTTATTCATTTTCTATTAATATATGATAATTCCCCTACAACCTAGTGGCTTAAAACAATACTTGTTCATTAGCTTATAGTTCTCTATATCAGAAGTCAGCACAGCATGGCTAGGTTCTCAGTGTAGGTCTTACAGGATGAAATCAGGGTCAGATGGGTTGCATCACTTTCCAGTGGCTCTGGGGAAAAATCTGCTTCCTATCTCACTGAAATTATTGGCTGAATTCAGTTCCTTACTGTTGTAGGACTGAGCTTTCTGTTTCCTTACTGACTATCAGTTGGGGGCTGATGACAGCTTTTAGAAGCTGTCTTCATTTCTTGCCATGTGACTCCCTCTTGTCTTCAGATCCTGCAGTGGAGAATCTTTCCCACCAAGGTTCTCTGAGGTCAGCCTCACTGAGGATACTCTCTTGTTCTTGAAGTCATATGTGTCTTATAATGTAGCCTACTCAGGGTGGTGATATCCCATCACTGATTCTAGATTCCTCCCACACTTAAAGGGTAAGAGATTATACAAGGGTGTAAATCATCGGGGGTCCTTTTAGAATTTTGACTACCTTACAATGTCCATAACTTACACATTCCAAAGAAAGGCAGAGATTGCTAGTTTGAATAAAGAGCTAGACCCAACTGTATGTTTAAATTGTTTAAATTAAGGCCTTTGAAAGAAAGCGTAGTTATAGCTACAAAATTTGTGAGAGGAAAATTATCTATATCAAAGTATTTTTGTTTTTAAACTATAAACACATCTGAATGGTACTGTGACTATTTTTCCCTCTAATATCACCGAAATTCCTATCCTTGAAGGCTACTTAATGTAATTTTATGACACATCAGTAATTGAATAGCTGTAAATAAACGACAATAGAGGCAGTTTATTATATGTGGATCCTGATAATTTTTATTTTCTTATTTTGTTTATTTTAAAAATCAGTATAAGTAATGCAAATTAAGGGTTTTGACTACATTCTTTAGGACATGAATGGCAAGATGAATTTTCTCGTATTATGGCAATGACAGATCCAGCTTTTGGATCTTCAGGAAGACCTATGTTGGTTTTATCTTGTATTTCTCAAGCAAATGTAAAAAGAATGCCTTGTTTTTATTTGGCTCATGAGCTGCGTCTAAATCATCTAAACCACCCATGGATGGTAAGGTCTTATTTTCTTTGGTGAGAAAAATCTTATTTTTATTTTTCACTATTCTTTATTTGTTTTAATGCTTTCTTACTCATTCTCTTTAATGAAATCATATTCTAAAGTTAGTTTTAATAGCTTAATTGGTGGGAGGTAGTCAGTTGGTATCAATAAGCTTCACCTGATTATTTGCTCTCTACTTGCTTTCCCTACCATAAATTATATCAGTTGATCAGTTTTTTTTTTTGTATCATGTTTTTTTAAAGCATGAATGTATTATTCTTTAAGGGTCATCAAAAAAATTCCATCTTATTGTTTCTTGCTTTCCAAATTTTAATCCTGGAACCCTTTCTTCAAATTAAACCTTATATGAAAGCCCTTAGGTAAAATAAAGAAACTTAAAAATTGGAAATGCCTATGTTTAAAAAGTTAGAGAATTTTCTTCCTTCCTCCCCTTACACCTTCCATAGAGCCCTGAAGACTCTTTGGAACACAGAGTGGTGGGAGTTTTAGCTTACTTTTAAGAAGAGTGGCAGTCTTTAAGACACATTTTTGCAACTGGATATCACATTTATCATCTGACTAGCTGGATTCTTTAAAAAAGGTTTTAGCTTTCAAAGTGGATCCTTTGGAGGAAAAAATTTTTTTTCTGATACATACAAACAAATCATAGAAATGATAGTTCTTCCCATTCCCAAAGCTGAGATCATATTTTTTATCTAAGTTCTGTAGGAGACAAAACTTGAATGACTCACCCAAAGTTAATTGGAATTTTTTTAACCCTATTCTTTTTTTAGTATCTAAAAAAATGTTTCTTTTAATCATAAGATTTTGGACTCAGTTTCTTACAGTGACCTCTCTTATCTGCTCATAGGTCCAGGATACAGAGGCTGAAACTCTAACTGGTTTTTTGAATGGCATTCAGTGGATTCTTGAAGAAGTAGAGTCTAAGCATGCAAGATGATCCTCCTTTTAGATCTTGAGAACTGAAACCATTTGAAACCTGTTACCAAGGTCCATGATGTGGAAATTTGTTCAGTCAGCTCATTTTGTCCTGCCTTTTTGCAGGTGGGCTTTATATTGGGACAGCTCTAGCTCCTTTGTTTATTACATAATTTTTACTTTTTACCTGAAATCAATTATAAGAAAAAAAACTTTCAGTGCTAGAATTTAGCCCCAAAATGAACCCTTTAAGATTTTTTTGGATAACTTTTATATTTTCTTTTTTAAAATATTAAATTCTAGAAAAAACAAATTTGTACTTCTCTCATTCCTTGTGATTTCTCTTTTCATTTCAGAGATTGCCCTGGTGGAGAATAACAGACTTTATAGGTTCTTTTCAGGGGTCCTTGACTGGTTATCAGAAAGAAATTTTTATGTATTTTTAATAAATATACTGCTTACAGGCTGGAATATATATAGAATTGCATTTAATATTATGGTCATACAACTACTGAGACAGTAGAAAATTAACTTGATACCATATTTAATACTTAAATGAAAATAACTTTCCTGGAAGCTCTTTGAAGGCTCATAAAGTTCTAAAGCCAAATTGTATTCCATCCTCCTAGAGAAAACATTCCATTAAGACATGGTCATGAGACTTCCTCACAAATGGTTTGCACTTTGCAGAGGAAATATTACAGCTTTCATGTCTCATTCAAACTGAGGAATTTTTAAGATTATAATAAAAAGAGCATAGTATTTGGGTTAGCATTAGGGTTAGGGTTAAAAAAAAAAAAAAAAGCATAGTAGTATTAGTGGTGCTGTGCTCAAGATATAGCCTACAACCCATGAATGGGTGCTGCTCCAAAAAAGGTAGCTCCTACGTCTTGGGTACACTCATCCAGAACTTGGCTTCAGCAGCATGGTGGTTGGAGACCGGATGGGAAATGCTAACATCCTGCTCCTGGGAGGGTATTTCTCCAGCTTAGAGAGGTAATAATGGTTCTGCTTCCCTGGCTGCCACAGTCTAGATTGGAGTTTCCATATTGCTGAGTTAGAGGAGGGAAAGAGGCAGTGAGTCTTGGCTCAAATCCCAAACTTGATGTTCTTATTGAGTTTTAGTAGACTTTTAAAAAATACTTCTTCATTTATTGTATGCTTTTGGGACTATTTACAGAGGCTTTAAATGGTTGGTGTTTTTAAAAATAATTTTCTCTAGTTTCTCTAGGGAGCCATGCCATGGAATCCCTTATGCTGTTATGCCAAAAGTGGATCTCCTTATTTTCCTATTAATATTTGTAGTATGTCATCTCATTGATTTCTGATATTGGTAATTTATGTCATTTTTCTTCTTGAGCAATCTAGCTTAAGTTTTACTGATTTTATTCTCAAAAAACTACCTTTTGGTTTTATTGATTTATTCTATATTTCAGTGAGTATTCTCTAATCTCTATTTTTCTGCTTTAAAAATTTTTTGAACTTTCATTTTCTCTTTATTTCTTTTTTTTCATTTCTATTATTTAGGATAGAAATTTAAGTTATTGATTTCATTATTTTTTTAAATAAGCGTTTAAAGCTATCTATTTTCTCGTAAGCCCTTATTAGTAGCATGAACACATTTTGAAATACTGTGTATTTATTATTATGCAGTTAAAATGTTTTCTAATCCCTTGAGATTACTTTTCAACCCATAGGGGTTATTTAGTATTATTGTTTTAGTGTTGTGTAATATCTATTACCTATATATTTTATTGTTATTGATATTTAATTCAGTCTATCTTTTATAAGAGAACATACTCTAAATTTTCAGTCTTTTTAAATTTGTTGAGTCTTGCTTTATGGCCCAGCTTATGGTCTATTGTGAATATGCTACATGCACTTGAAAAGGGTTTATATTCTGTAGTTGTTAGGTGGAATATTTTATAGCTATCTATTAGGTCAAAGTAATTTAAAATGTTCGGATATTCTATATTGGGTACATTGATTTTTTTAAAGATTTTATGTTTAACTAATCTCTACATCCAACATGGAGCTCAAACCCACTAAACCGAGATCAGGAGTCACATGCTCCACTGATTGAGCCAGTGGGTGCCACATACTGATCTTTTATAGGTGTATCAATTACCAGTAGTCATTAAAATCTTTAACTATGATTGTAGAATTGCCTATTTTTCCTTTTAACTGTCAGTTTTTGCTTTGTTTTGATGTTTTAAGGTGCACATACATATATGACTTTTATTTTCCTGATGAATTGACCCTTTTATCATTATTAATAATGTTCTTTTTGTCGATAATACTCACTGGTTTGAAATCCACTCTCTAATATTAATATAATTCCTTCAAGATTAAAAAACAAAACAAAACACTGTTCTCATGGCATATCCATTCAGTCTAAATCTGTCTTTAAATGTTAAGTCTATCCCTTGCAGATGGGATATAGCAAATCTTGTTTTTTCTTTTTCCATTCTGACAATATATACGTTTTAATTGGAATGTTTAGGTCATTTACATCTAATGTAATTATGGATAGGACTGGTTTCAGATCTATCATTTTATTATTTGTTTATCTCCTCCATTGTTGTTGTTTCTCTGTTCTTTCTCTTTTGGATATTTTAGTATGTTTTAGAAATCAATGTAAGTTTTTCTATCAGCTTTTTTTTTTTTTTTTTTAGCATGTCTCTGAATTTTTTAGAGGTTGCTCTAGTGATTGCAATATATTTCGTTAGCTTTCAAAAGTTTTCTTATAGTTAACATTGTTCCAATTTGTGTAATATGTAGAAATGTTGTAACTGTGTAGGTCTTATTCTTCTCACCACTCTTTGCTACAGCTGTTAAATGTATTATACTGGCATATGTTATAAATCCCAGGAGACAGTGTTACAGCTTTTGCTAGAACAGCCCATATATATTATAAGGATGTTAAAAGAAGAAACACTTTACAAAATAATAAAAGCGGTCGTATATTTTTAAGATACGTAAAATCCTGGGTTGACATTTTTATTCTTTCAGCCCTTTCAAGATGTTCTTTTGTTCTCTTCTAAGCTTTGTAATTTCTGATAAAAAGTTATTCTCTAATTATACCTTCATTCTCTTGCATATAATATTTTTTCTGCTTTCGTTTTTACTTTTTATCTTGGCTTCCAGCAGTTTAACTACAGTGTCCTAGATATGGACTTGTTTATTATTACCCACCTTGGGAGTTACTAGGCATGTGGAATATTGAAATTCATGCCATTTACCAAGTTTGTGAAATTTTTGGTCACTATTTCTTCAAAATTTTCCCTCCCCATTCTTTCCTTTTTCCCCCATTGGGTCTATATTGTATAACACATGTGTTCACATAGTTTGTTATTATTTTAACCTATTTCTGAGGCTTTGCTCATTTTTCCTGTTTTTTTTTCTCTCTGTTCTTCATTTTGGATAATTTTAATTGATTTATCTTCAGGCTTTCAAACTTTTTTTTATCTAGATTTTGTTAAATCATTCTTGTGAGTGATTATAATTTAATTATTGTATTGGTTCTATAATTATTTTTGTTCTTTTTTAAATTTTATTTTTCTCAGATTTCCTTCTTTTTTTTTTTTTTTTTTTCTTTGAGGGCATTTGTTCCTTTACATCATTGAGAGTGGTTATAAGGGCTGCTTTAAAATCCTGTCTGGGGCATCTGGGTGGCTCAGTCATTAAGCATCCTACTCTGAGTCTTGGCTCAGGTCACACTTTGTGAATTTAAGCTCCATGTCTGGCTCTGTGTTGACAACACGGAACCTGATTGGGATTCTCTCCCCTTTCTCTCTGCTGCTCCTCTAGTATACTTTTTCTCTCTCAAAATAAATAAAACTTAAATTTAAAAAAATCCTGTGTGTCAATTCCAAATCTGAAAGATTTGGTTTTAAAAGTTGGTTTTCTTTTATTAAAGGAATGGGTGCCATTTTCATTTCTTTGGTATCTTGCAGAATTTTGTATTGTATTCTGAAAAGTATGAATGATAAGTTGTAGAGACTATAACTTCTGCTATTTTTTCTCCAGTAAGTATATTTCTTATGTTTAAACAATTAACATGATTAAACATAAATTGCAAACTCTGTTCCTTGGGCAACATTCCACATTATATATCTTTTTTTTTTTCAAATGAGTTGGTTTTTGACACAAAATTTAGCCAAAGATATACACAGAGAATTTAGTGATTTTTTTTTCTGGGTTTTTCTTTTTTTTTTCCTGAGACAACTTCTTTTTGCCCTGAACAAAATCAAGACATTTTTCTGCTTTTCAAATCTGCTCTCTGTCTTCAGAATTCCTGTTGAGGGCTCAACAGTTTATTTTCACATTTGGAGGTTTTACATTTGCAATTTGGTATATCAATCATATTGTCATGGAAAATGTCAGTGGTAGGGTGCCAAGGTGGCTCAGTTGGTTGAGTGTCCAACTTCTTCCGCTCAGGTCGTGATCTTGTGGTTTGCGGGTTTGAGCCCTACATTGGGATTTGTGCTGACAATGTGGAGCCTGCTTTGGATTCTCTGTCTCCCTCTCTTTCTCCCCCTCTGCCACTGTGTATTCTCTCTCTCAAAAATAAATAAACATTAAAAAAAATGTCAGTGATTTTTTTTTTATCCAAGCAAAATTTCTCATGACAGGCCTGCTGTTCCACCCACTAGTACCCAAAATAGGCAGTTACTCCCATAAAAGGGAATCTTTTGATCACCAAAAAGACCTGTTTTATCCTTGGAATTTATTTAGACTTTTTGTACTTACTGTTCTTTGATGGCTTAATGTATAATTTTCATTTTATTCTGTTTTCTTTTTGCTATAACAATCTTTTGTTACCTACATTCTATGTGATAGTAAGCAAAATTCTTACTGGTTTTTGTACTGTCTTTTAAACACTATGATTTCCTAGATCAGTATCTATTTGTCAAAAAAATTTTTAGCATTGTGTCTACACACAGTAGCTGAACTATATTGATCATTACTGCATATTGTGAAGAGTTCTCATGTCTTATTTCCCCTTGATTTTCAGTATTATTTCATTTTTATTGTAAAGTATGATGACTTTTTATTGTTTCTTTGTCCTCTCAAGGGAATTATATTTGCCTTCACATTCTTTGACCCTTGGAAGAAGTCCTCAGCAACTTTTTATAGCATTTGAGGTCTGATCCTTGCTACAGTCTCAACAAATTAAATATATTTAAATTTAAGATATTCCAGTTGATTATTCTTTCTATATTTGTATAAGAATGTTAGAAGCAGCGTAACT